TTTAGTAGCCATTTAAAATTACATGTACTCGCAGCCTTGTCGTAAAGCGTGACGTCAATAAAATATGGCGCCGTAGAATACAAATTGAATTACTTTTTCTTTTCATTTCTAAGCAAGAGTATCTTCGTTGGTTGCATATTCATTAAACTATAAGATTTGAACACAAAAGCTTTCCTCTGAAAACCACTTAGTTATCATTCAGTCGTATGGCAAATCCATAATCTTAAAACAATGCCTGATATTGATTATTACGTTGAATTGTTACTCCGGACTACAGTGAGAGTCAACCAGACTGTACAGAAACCTCGGTACGCCAGACTGAGTACAGTAGAATATTGTTATGCATGACCTGGTAGAGTGGGATCACGTGTATTCGGCCTGTATGTACTTAAACGGCTTTTAGCCAAACTGTGTAGAAAAGAATATTGGTAATCCTGATGGAGCCTCTTAAATTCGGATATTGTATAGTATTTGACCTCGATATGCCGGACATTAAACAGTATAACCTCGTTACTCCGGATATTTTAGAATAGAATGTCTGCTCCTCTGGCTGTACTATACAGCCGCGTTTATCTGAACTGTTTTCAGAAAAAAACATGGGTTATCATTAACGAGTGAAGCAGACTAACGTCATTCTGAACTTCTTTTAGTAAAATCTTGATAATGGGTACTATGTAAAGTAGAACGCTTTTGATCCGAACTTTGTGACCTTGGTAATCCGAACTGTGTAGTTAAAACCTGGATAATCCGAACTATATTACTAAAACATTTGTAATCCGAACTGTGGACCTAAAACCTTGGTGACCCGAACTATGTTCCTGAAACCTTGGTATTCCAAACTATGTAACTAAAACATTGGTGATCCGAACTGTGTTGTTAAAACCTTGGTAATCCGAACTATGTATGTGGAACATTGGTAATCCGGAACTCGTACGGTAGAACCTCGTTATTCAAAACATTTGAGAGTAGAATCTCGTTATTCCGTCTTTGCGTATTGCAGAGTTATCTTCTCTTGAGAGCAGGTATTGATTGTTACGTCAATTGTTTGTGAGAGTAACGTCATCAATTTTTGTGAAAACGGCGTAATTTTCTCACACAAACCAATGACGTAACAATCAATACCTGCTCTAAAGAGAAGATAACTCTGCAATACGCAAAGACGGAATACCATACTGTATAAAGTAAAACCTCCTTAATCCAAACAATCTACAATATAACCTTTGGTATCCGGATTGTGTACAGTAAAACACTGTCAATCTGATTTGTGTAGAATATAACCTTTGGTATCCGGATTGTGTACAGTAAAACACTGTCAATCTGATTTGTGTAGAATATAACCTTTTTCATAAGGACTGTATGTAGTTAAACCTTGTAAATCCTTACTGTGTATAGTAAAACCTCGTTAGTCCGGAGTGTATGGAGTTGGATATTGGTAATATGGATTGTGTACAGTAAAACCTCGTTAGTCCGAAGTGTTTAGATTAGGACATTGATAATATGCACTGTGTACAGTAAAACCTCGCTAGTCCGGAGTGTTTAGATTGGGATATTGGTAATATGGATTGTGTATAGTAAAACCTCGTTAGTCCGGAGTGTATAGATTGAGATTTTGGTAATATGGATTGTGTACAGTAAAACCTCGTTAGTCCGGAGTGTATATTTTAGGATATTTGTAATCTGGACTGTGAACATTATCACCTCGTCACTCAGGTACTCAGGACTGTGTTAAGTAAAATTTGGTTAATTCGGACTGTGTACAGTATATGCATCAAATCGGTTAAACATGGGTCATTGTTAAGCCGAACGTTATACAATATAATTTCTTTAAACCGGACTCTGTACAATCTAACCTCGCTTTACATAATTATAAATTCAAGTCACTGTACACAATTCTTTTATAACAAAAGTTAAACTTATTGTTGGTTTGGTTTGGTTTTATTTTGTTTTACGTCTTCTTACGCAGGGTATGTTGATTTGTTTGCCTCTTCGCTAACCTTATGCCGACTTGAGAGAGCTATCTCACTGAAGTACCATGCTGAAGGCACCAAGAACAGTAATCTACGTGGTCACGATAATCTGACAATGGGTGAACCAGTTGTCGTCATAACCCTTAATGTTGAACATTAAGCAGGGAAACCTAACATTTTAAGGGCTTTGGTATGTCCCGGACTGGGAACAGAACGCATTGCCGTCCTCACCAGGGCAAACTTTCAACAGGTTTTATGTTTGTCGAATTACAAGCTCTCGTTGTTCACCCTACTCGACGTTAAATAAAGCTTCTTTTATCCTGTATCTTGTATCTTGTTCACTAAAGCCAAAAATGAGGTTTAACCAAAGAAGGCTCGAGGAAACAAAAAGCTTGTTAGATAGTAGAGAGAAAAAATACAAAGATTCCAAATGTTGCAATTCTTCAATGTCCCTGTGCATATCTGATAAGTGCATATAAATGCACATACGTTGTACACAACTGAACACTGTTAATCTGAAACCCACAAAAAACAAATTAAAGCACTGTGCATCAACCGTATGATCATTGCAATAGGGATTAAATCGATTTAAATAAGATACTCGAGTTTTAACTGTATTAGTATTTTGTATCAACGGAACTCGATATGCAATGGGTTTAGATTAACTCAGTGAGACAGGATCGTTGGTGAAACTGTTGTATATAAGTTTCCTGGAATACATGAATAATGCATGTACACAGACATGGTAAAATGGTCTACCAAACATTTTGTGAAATGTCAAAATGGCCACATATAGTAGCTTAGCGAATTCCTCCATGTAAAAAATCGAACGTTCCTTAAAACTCTGGGTGAATTTAGACGCTCCACAAGCTGATTCATCGCTCAACTGTTACAATCGATATATAAAATGATGTAATCGTGTAAATGCACGTGTACGGGAACGTTGGAAATAAACCGAGGCGTGATTTCGCGACGGTACAACAACTGACATGTTGCCTAAACAAATTTGATGGAAACGATTTTCCGGAACAGTCATATCGATTCCGACTCCGATATTAGAATTTGTAACCTAAGGTGGCATCACTAGTCGAGTACAGTCGGGTTAGATTGCAGGAGTTGACGGTAAGGGTTACATTGTATCCGGATCAAAAATGTTGCAATACCCCCACTTCAGAAACAGTCAAAGGTGACCGTAGAAATAAAATTAACTTCCGTCACTTTTAAATAAATTCTTTTCACACAAAGGAAATCAAAAGGTTGATATATTGTTATTTCCAAAAGCATTGTATTGATTTCCGGCATTATTCTTTCATTCAAATGATGTTTAATGGAAACAATCCTGATACTATTCAATGCAGCAAACACAATTCTGGGTTACTGTGTGATGTTGCATTATCAACTGTTTATTTAAGTGGCAGACATTTTTGAAGGACAAGGTCGTGTTTTGATGGTTACGATTTCCGTCTGGTGACAATCGGATACCGTTCAGGATTTCCCGTTAACGTTTGGATTTGACGTCACGACATGATTGATCCCTGATTACTCCTACAGGAACACGGAAAAGTCGGACAGTTTCCGATTGGAAGACTTTTACGTCCAGCACTTCTGCCTCAGACTGGTTTTCCTTCCGTAGTTTTCCTTCTCACCGCTAAGCCTAGCAAAGAGAAATATAGAACTACAATGTTAGGCATGTAATCCAGTCTAAATCGCATTTAGAGTTGGTAGATTTATACAGAGGCTGTACAATGAGAACGTAAAATTAAGTAAAAAAGTAAAAGTCAGAGAATGCATTTCCAATATATTTCCTTTTTTTTCATCCACACATTTGCAGTAGTTATTTGTACAATGAATATAAACTTAAAAATGTCTAAAATTCTTTTAGAGTAGTATCCGGTATACGGAAGGTACATATTACCCTAGAGATCAATTTGCTGCCGACTAAATTGCTTCTGTATTGCTTTATTTAGAAAATTAATCTCCGAGACATTCGCTATGTAACACGATACAACACATCTCTGTAAATTAATTTCTGTGCTCGGCGCTGACGTGCACAATAGTTACCGATTGATCAAAATTAAGCCCCGGTGAAGACAGCCGCCATGGTCTTTGGGACTCTGATGTCAAATACAAATGTACATTCTATGGTGATTTTCTCTGATCAAGCTGGGCTAGAATTGATTTTCTCTCTTTTTCTTCTGTATATAGTTAACACAGTTGTGTGATTGTCTCCGGGTAAAATGGTGACAGGCAAGGTCGTTTTATACTGTATAAATATGTTTTACGACTCCTTGAAAATGTATGAAGAAGCGCACATCGCCCGATGCTTCATAGTTTATAGTTTGTTGAATACATTATATATTTCTCAAGTGTGACAGGATATACATATTTTAGTGTGAAGAATGCCATAAATGCCTAACTATCTGTATTTATTGTAGACATAAAACCTTGTAAGCTGAAGCTAATTATCTGCCCACACGTATGCCACCATAACATGTTTCCAATGGTATAACAACGCTGATTAAAAAAAACCTAACCTGTAGGGAGTTGTTTTAGAAAAAAATCCCGCTCTTTTCTATCGTTGGTCTCAAGTTAAGTAAAATGTTCACCATAGACTAAAATGTCACATAAAATATATATAAGGTAACGAATATTATGACTTCAAAGAAAATATCACATCAAAGCATTTCTCTTATTACAGTTGTGCCTCTGACTAATCCTTTTTTCAAGCATTGGGTGAATGCTTGGCATGGGGATACCCGTACCTGTGTTGTAAATAGGGATGTTTTGATGGGGGAATACTTAAAACTAGAGGGGGGATTGCACATATATATGTATGTTGGAAGTTATATGTCAGTATTGTTATGCTAGTCTTTTGTAGTGCAAATGATGTAAAACATTTTTTTAACTATGTCAGCATTAACAGGGTTGAATTGAGACCGGTCTATAGAAAACGCTGAAGAGTGAAGGTGAAATTGATTTGTATTCGTCTCTTTCCAGTATTAAACCATGGTATTATTATTCGTTCTGTTGCAGTTTTGATGGCGTCAGTGTTTGTGGCAATCAACACAGATACAACCTATGCAAAGACCTTAACCTTCGGTGATGACGTGGTAGATCACTTCCTGGTCAGACGAGATGTTAGTTTAGGTGAAAACACAACTAAGGCAGACACTACCGGATATGACATTAAAAATGACACACTGAGTCAGTTGATGGAAAAGTACAAAACGACCAAGCGGTACAAAGACGATCCGGATTTCGGTAAGATTGCTAAATTATTACTATGTCTATATACATATCTAGCTTTATTATCATTTGTTTGTTAATCTTGTTTAAAAATTTGTATATCAAATTGTCAAACTTGTCGTTCATTATTGACAGGAAGTCTTTAAGGTAAGGCGTCACATGTTTTGTAGGAAGGGCTTATTCTTCCGGAGCGTCTGGTCTTGTGTTTTCGGCTAAGGATATCTAATTGTACGTCAGGTCTGGAGTGATTTTTGTTGCTGTTGAATAAGCGTCTTTCTGACTTTAATTTAGTCCCAATATACCTTACTTGACAGTATATGTACCTTGCGATTGACCTTAGGGTTGACCAGAATGGCAAGTTCGGTTTGGTTTAATCTTGTTTAACGTCCTATTAACAGCTAAGGTCATTTAAGGTCAGGGTATGTTGGCGTGCTTTCCTTCTTGTGATAGCGCGCATCTGATGCCGACTTTATAGTGCTTTCTCACTGAAATACCATGCCGAAGGCACGCAACGCAGCATTCCGCCCGATCACATTATACTGACAAGGGGTGAACCCCTTGTTGCCATTTCCCTAAATGCTGCTGAACGTTACGCAGGGAATAACAACTACCATTTTTAAGGACTTTGGTGTGTGTTGGCCCGGGGACAGAACCCATTGCCTTCCTCACCTGGGCGAACGCTCCACATTAAAGCCAAAATTAAGGTGTTGCCAAGCAAGGCACTAGGAAGTAAAAGGTAGTTAGAAGTAGAGAGAAACGTTAAGATCCCAACTATTGCAATTGGTGCAGCAGATTTATTTCGGTCGCGTTTTTGTCTCCAAATAGAGGACACCAAAGCAAATCCTCTTTTGTTCAGGAGGTTCCCACAATAGTCGCCTCCTACAAGTACGATACATGCAGTGGGTAACAGCAGGTGTATTTTGTTCCCGATCCCCCACCTGCAGGGATACTTCTGGCTAGTGAGGAAGGTTAAAGGTTCTATCCTATGACCGAGACAAAACGAATTCGTTAAGATATTGGTATTTACTACTCTCTGCTTGACGTTCAGATGGTAAGTATTGGTAAGCATTTGTTTGTAAAATGTGACAATGCGGATTGTCGTGCTACTGTGTCCGGGTTAATGGCCCTTGGGTGACGTCATTATCCACGGGCACATCATTTGTATGACCGTAGCTGTTATAAGGACGAAAAGAAAGCAAACAAACAAAAGAACGAACGAACAGACAAGCACATTTGGATTTGCTGTTGTATTTTCGTGCCGTGGTTTCGTGTTTTTTGTTGTGTAGACACCGACATATATTTGTGTATAATTCATTTGCCAGTTTGTACATTTTTTCTTATATTTAGAACAGTTACAGCTAGATAAGGTAAATCATTGCTGGTTTACTGTGTGACATGTTTGACGTGTACATGTATATATGACTGACAAGACGGTGAGATAATGTCGAAAATTTTATGATTTGTTGACGATTTTTTGTCGGAAATGACGTGCACGATTGTAGCACATGAGTCACCGTGAAAGTGACAAGCACGATTCTACATGTTACTGTACTATATATTGCATCAGAGAGACCCAGTCTGTTGTTTTATTGAAATGTTTCTTAATTATTTTCGTTTTGATTTATTTTTACAAAACATATCTCTACGGAAATAAGTTTGTACTAATCTTCTATGAGGACCAACTCTGACAATTGCTGATGCAAAGTACACCGATAAGGATTCGTGAGCGAGCCTCCTTTGATCAGCATGCACGGAACAGTGTCTGTGTATTGATTTATTGACAGATAACTGGTAAACAAAATTTTCGAAAGCTCTATATTGACAGCATGTATATATATATACGTCCGACTAACGAGGAATGAATAGCATTTTATAGTCCAAACAGCGAACATTTTCATACTGACACAACATATTACTATTTTATAGCAGTAATGGGAGGTATGGGCTTTGTCGCTAATCATGATGAAGTGCGTACTGTGGACGTTTACTTATACCACACGTACTTACATGCAGCGTGGGAGTAATGTGTTTCTAAGAGTGTGCAGTCATGTCTACTAAAGTACAGCAGACATTTAGCCTTGGGGGACTTTGAGGATTTCTGTATCACTACCAAAATCTTTATTTTTAATATATCTTTTCTGAAAAGGAAAATCACATCTCGCAGATCTTTAATACCCCTTTGACATCCGATCATTATACTGTCCCACCAAGAACCCTTGACATCCGATCATTATACTGTCCCACCAAGAACCCTTGACATCCGACCATTATACTGTCCCATTAAGAACCCTTGACATCCGATCATTATACTGTCCCACCAAGAACCCGTAACATCCAATCATTAAACTGTCCCACCAAGAACCCTTGACATCCGATCATTATACTGTCCCACCAAGAACCCTTGACATCCGATCATTATACTGTCCCACTAAGAACCCTTGACATCCGATCATTATACTGTCCCACTAAGAACCCTTGACATCCGATCATTATACTGTCCCACTAAGAACCCTTGACATCCGATCATTATACTGTCCCACTAAGAACCCTTGACATCCGATCATTATACTGTCCCACTAAGAACCCTTGACATCCGATCATTATACTGTCCCACTAAGAACCCTTGACATCCGATCATTATACTGTCCCACTAAGAACCCTTGACATCCGATCATTATACTGTCCCACTAAGAACCCTTGACATCCGATCATTATACTGTCCCACTAAGAACCCTTGACATCCGATCATTATACTGTCCCACTAAGAACCCTTGACATCCGATCATTATACTGTCCCACTAAGAACCCTTGACATCCGATCATTATACTGTCCCACTAAGAACCCTTGACATCCGATCATTATACTGTCCCACTAAGAACCCTTGACATCCGATCATTATACTGTCCCACTAAGAACCCTTGACATCCGATCATTATACTGTCCCACTAAGAACCCTTGACATCCGATCATTATACTGTCCCACTAAGAACCCTTGACATCCGATCATTATACTGTCCCACTAAGAACCCTTGACATCCGATCATTATACTGTCCCACTAAGAACCCTTGACATCCGATCATTATACTGTCCCACTAAGAACCCTTGACATCCGATCATTATACTGTCCCACTAAGAACCCTTGACATCCGATCATTATACTGTCCCACTAAGAACCCTTGACATCCGATCATTATACTGTCCCACTAAGAACCCTTGACATCCGATCATTATACTGTCCCACTAAGAACCCTTGACATCCGATCATTATACTGTCCCACTAAGAACCCTTGACATCCGATCATTATACTGTCCCACTAAGAACCCTTGACATCCGATCATTATACTGTCCCACTAAGAACCCTTGACATCCGATCATTATACTGTCCCACTAAGAACCCTTGACATCCGATCATTATACTGTCCCACTAAGAACCCTTGACATCCGATCATTATACTGTCCCACTAAGAACCCTTGACATCCGATCATTATACTGTCCCACTAAGAACCCTTGACATCCGATCATTATACTGTCCCACTAAGAACCCTTGACATCCGATCATTATACTGTCCCACTAAGAACCCTTGACATCCGATCATTATACTGTCCCAGTAAGAACCCTTGACATCCGATCATTATACTGTCCCACTAAGAACCCTTGACATCCGATCATTATACTGTCCCACTAAGAACCCTTGACATCCGATCATTATACTGTCCCACTAAGAACCCTTGACATCCGATCATTATACTGTCCCACTAAGAACCCTTGACATCCGATCATTATACTGTCCCACTAAGAACCCTTGACATCCGATCATTATACTGTCCCACTAAGAACCCTTGACATCCGATCATTATACTGTCCCACTAAGAACCCTTGACATCCGATCATTATACTGTCCCACTAAGAACCCTTGACATCCGATCATTATACTGTCCCACTAAGAACCCTTGACATCCGATCATTATACTGTCCCACTAAGAACCCTTGACATCCGATCATTATACTGTCCCACTAAGAACCCTTGACATCCGATCATTATACTGTCCCACTAAGAACCCTTGACATCCGATCATTATACTGTCCCACTAAGAACCCTTGACATCCGATCATTATACTGTCCCACTAAGAACCCTTGACATCCGATCATTATACTGTCCCACTAAGAACCCTTGACATCCGATCATTATACTGTCCCACTAAGAACCCTTGACATCCGATCATTATACTGTCCCACTAAGAACCCTTGACATCCGATCATTATACTGTCCCACTAAGAACCCTTGACATCCGATCATTATACTGTCCCACTAAGAACCCTTGACATCCGATCATTATACTGTCCCACTAAGAACCCTTGACATCCGATCATTATACTGTCCCACTAAGAACCCTTGACATCCGATCATTATACTGTCCCACTAAGAACCCTTGACATCCGATCATTATACTGTCCCACCAAGAACCCTTGACATCCGATCATTATACGGTCCCACTAAGATCCCTTGACATCCGATCATTATACTGTCCCACCAAAAACCCTTGACATCCGATCATTATACTGTCCTAGTAAGAACCCTTGACATCCGATCATTATACTGTCCCACTAAGAACCCTTGACATCCGATCATTATACTGTCCCACTAAGATCCCTTGACATCCGATCACTATCCCGTCCCACTGAGAACCCTTGACATCCGATCATTATACTGTCCCCCCAAGAACCCTTGGCATCCGTTCATTATACTGTCCCACAAAGAACCCTTGACATCCGATCATTATACTGTCCCACCAAGAACCCTTCACATCCGATCATTATACTGTCCCACCAAGAACCCTTGGCATCCGTTCATTATACTGTCCCACCAAGAACCCTTGACATCCGATCATTATACTGTCCCACCAAGAACCCTTGGCATCCGTTCATTATACTGCCCCACCAAGAACCCTTGACATCCGATCATTAAACTGTCCCACCAAGACCCCTTGACATCCGATCATTATACTGTCCCCCCAAGAACCCTTCACATCCGATCATTATCCTGTCCCACCAAGAACCCTTGACATCCGATCATTATACTGTCCCACCAAGAATCATTGCCAAATCGCGCTACAGTTATAGCCAACATCAAAATTAGGAGAGATAACTTTATTTACTAAACAATAAAGTGGATATATCGAATGTTTTGTATGCATTGGGAAAAGGAGCCTTTATATAGAGATTGGAAACAAAAATTAGAATGAGTCTAGTCTTGAAGTTATTTGTGACTTCTTATTTGAAGTCGTGTTGTCGCCGATCGAGGTTCGCGGTAACCTTTTAAAGGGAATCTATTCCTGCACGATTTACATCACGGCAATGCTAGTTTGTGAATGACTTATCTGCTGTAGCCACACGTTGTAAATTGGTGACGTTATAAGGGGTTTTATTTGTACCCTTCCCATTTTGCTATATTTGTTCATTTCTTTGACCTTTCGAAAAAGAAGTTAAAAAGATAACATAAAATAGTAAGGGAATACCGATGTGTCACTAAAACCATAATTCGAACGCAAAATCGATAAATCTAGGACAAAATAGAGGCAAAGTAAAGATTAACATAGAGATCATTGAAAAAGCAAAACGGGAATAAGACCAGGTGTTCCGGAAGGGAAGCCGTCTTCTGCTTCTAAGTCAAATCCAAGTAATGTCACGTCCTCACGTGGATAACTCGGGTTGTTGCAACAAAACGACGTTTAAGAATACTATAAAACTGACAAGTCCCTATATGGTCCAACTGGCCTTACTATATATATTATAAAGCAGTGGGAGTCTGCCTTGATAGACTTTCTGAGTTATCTAACTATATCTTTTATAATAGGTCCTTACTTTGTATTTAATAATTATTTTGTTTCATCCCAAGGCTGACTTTTTCTTCAATACTAGTACTGTTTCTAAGCTCCTGTAAACGTTTGTCTTGAATTCACTTGCATCTGTAAACTGTATCCATGTTTTTCTGGCAGAAATTTCATTGAAAGTTATTATAGACGTTACGTTATTCTGCAGTTCTGAAATTCCTACTTACTTAAGATGTTCATTTATAACTGATATTTTCGTATTGTTTATTTTTTTAAAGAACCAACGATGTGTGTTCATATCAATAAAACGGATAATGACACAATAGACGGACATTTCCTGTGCCCAATGACCAACGATTCTAAAGAAGAGACCAAATGCTGTGGAGAGGCAGACGGACAATTTTGTTGTAAACCAGTAGTAGCTGGAGGCCGGAAACCACCGGCACATGACGAAACGACGTAAGTATGGTATCCAATCGGGAACCGTCGGCACTTTCCGTAAACGAAAAAATACTTTCTCGTTCACAGAAAGTTCCGACGGTTTCCGATTGGTAATGTACAATTTCATTTATACATTCTTATGTTGTAATAATTATTCAAAGATAATTGAAGACCCGAATAATCAGTTGTCCCTCGAATTTTTATGTAAATAGAAAATTCGTTGAATATTGCCACCTGAGTGGAGAGAGTGAGAGGCCGGATGAACGGCCGGGGCTTATAAAATCCTAATCTTTCACAATCAAGAGTAAATTTCGTATAGAATATAGATGCAGTCGTTTCTGCAGTGTGTAAACTGATTTCGTTATTTGAAAAACATGTTTATTTCTAAAATAGTTTCAGAAGTATACAGTTGTAAGGGTGATGCTATTTCTCGATCATTAGTATACTTATTAATGCTGCGTTTCTCTATCAACTGAAGTCTTTGTCAAGCCACGGACACAAGAAGCAGTACACAAAATAACGCTATACGTAAGCTACAGATTATTGTACAGTTATTGTGCAATTGATAAATTATATGCGTGCTCGCTTGGCCGTTTGTTGTGCATCTTTAATTTTGCGACTGATCGGAAAAACAAGATCACCGCTATCTTGGATTTTGCCAGTTTTATAATGTTATCATTATTTCCGGTAAGAAGTACTAGACAGATCTTTCTCAAATTTCAGTGATAGGTGCTCCTTGTTACACATTAAGTATTGTATCAGTAAATAGGTCAAATGACAACATCACTTAGAAAGATAATTTCATTAGTAAAAAACAGTAGGTGCATTTACTGTTTACATATCTCAATCCAACAGATACAAGAAAAAAACCCAGATCAGTTTTGCATAGAACTCATGAAGACGGTAACGTGTACGATGGTGGACACAAAGATCCCTTTCAAACGTGACTTGTATTTCTGTTTCAGGATGCTGCTAATGTTGATTCCCCTCTTTGTGGTCCCGATAAGCCTTTGTCTTATTCTTTACTGTTGCTGCTGTCAACGTAGACCGGAAGTGCATTCTGGGAAATTAGTATGGATACGGAAATCTAATAAAAAAGAAAGTGAGTACTGTAACAGCCACTGAAAAACGAACTTTATCGATGTATACCTCCAGCACATATACATACAAACACGCATACATAACACATGTACACACATGGAGACACGGCCTTAAATTAACAAAATATCAACAAACAAAACCAATCATTAAAGATAAACAGACTAGCAGTCCAGCACACTTAAATTGAATTGCCCTGAAATAGTAGAAATTACTTTGACTAGGTTAAGGTTATATTTGAGAAGTCGAAGTCGTCTGTTCTATTTATATTTTATTCACCGCAATGTTATTTAATGAGCCACACTCTAGATCTAGGGAATGAACTCCTGTAATAAGACATATTGTAACATCATTCAATGGTAAGGGGAGGGGGGAGGCGAAAACTAAACTGCAGCGAAAAAGTCCCGGTATAAAGTATTTAACTTGGGCTAAAACCCTCGTAAATATATATACATCAACATCTCGTGCAATCTAAGACGGCAGGTGAGTACGTGCAATCTAAGACGGCAAGTGAGTACGTGCAATCTAAGACGGCAGGTGAGCACGTGCAATCTAAGAGGGCAGGTGAGCACATGCAATCTAAGACGGCAGGTGAGCACATGCAATCTAAGACGGCAGGTGAGCACGTGCAATCTAAGACGGCAGGTGGGCACATGCAATCTAAGACGGCAGGTGATCACATGCAATCTAAGACGGCAGGTGAGTACGTGCAATCTAAGACGGCAAGTGAGTACGTGCAATCTAAGACTGCAGGTGAGCACGTGCAATCTAAGAGGGCAGGTGAGCTCATGCAATCTAAGACGGCAGGTGAGCACATGAAATCTAAGACGGCAGGTGAGCACATGCCATCTAAGACGGCAGGTGAGCACGTGCAATCTAAGACGGCAGGTGAGCAGGTGCAATCTAAGACGGCAGGTGAGCACGTGCATTCTAAGACGGCAGGTGAGCACATTTGTTACATTTGATACATTGTACCTAGATTTACTCAGATTTAATGCTGAACTTGACTAGCGCCATAAGTATTTTTTGTGGCGGTTCGTGATGTCATTTGATTTAGTTTGATGTCTGTTCGGTTCTTGTTTTAATTTTCCTTTTCATATCGTCACAATGGCAGCGTGACATACTTTAGATCCCTTTTTCTTCTGTCCGTTTAACATGAATCTACGATAATGCAACTATATGAAATAAATGCCGAATTTTGATAAATTTATTAAGATTTCTATGTAAATAAAACCTTTTAAAATGGAAATCAAAGTATTGAATATCTTTCAGTTGACATTAGTATCATTTGGAACGTGAGAATTCAACCCGAAGCACATGCGCTCTTCCTGAAATTGGTCACGTGCCAGTTAACATTTATATTGATAAAGCTTTCCGATGCTTAACAAAACCAAGTCAAATGTACATAAAAATTAAAGATTAATTAGTAAAGTTATCAATACTTTTCATTTTCTGTTTGCCCTCTAGTTATTCTTTCTATGACAACCATATTTGGGTAAATCCTGATCCCTCGCGCCTACCCGACAGCCCTCGATATAATATGATATTATTGACATTATTATTTAATCAGTACAGCACACACGCACAATTAGGTAAGTCATGGACAATGGTTAGCTTTTCAAGATTACTGAACATTATGTGTTTAAGTAATAAAGGGTTGGATACGGGAAAGATAATTATCCAACTATGGTATTTGCAGCAGATAACTTAAGATTGCCCCAGTGTCTCACTAACAAGGGACACAAATAGAAGTCCCCGGTACCCAATACACCCACATTAGACGCCTCATAGGTCCTATCCACAGAGGAATACTTGAAGCCGATTCTTGTGTGATATCCCCGAATCTTCGTTAGGAATAACCTTTGGAGAACGCGATTTAAACTGTTCAGAACACACAAGAGAGAAATTAGCTATTTCCGGTAAATAATTTATTAACAATATAATATTAGGGCTATTTAATGAGACTATTAGACATTTGGGTCTATATTGTGTTACAAGTACACCATTCCCTGTCCTACCCTGTAATTGTCCTATTATCATTGATAATTCCAGTCACTACACTCGCTCTCCTAGACAGTAATTATTTTATTGTCATTGAACCGTCCCAAGCGCCATCTTAATAGAATCGTACCACTATATAATCACTTATGCGCAGAATTATGATCAAAGGGTGATTCCTTTAAATTGGTTACATTATCTACATATTCCGTCTTTGCGTATTGCAGAGTTATCTTCTCTTTTGAGCAGATATTGATTGTTACGTCATTGGTTTGTGTGTGAGAAAATTACGTTGTTTTGTCAAAAATTGATGACGTTACTCTCACAAACAAATGACGTAACCATCAAAAAATACCTGCTCACAAGAGAAGATAACTCTGTAATATGAAAAGACGGAATACCCTCGGAGATACCTTACTGACACAACTAGTGCATATTTTGTAGAATGTCAATGCCATGATGTATAATTTTAAAGTCCGTTCAAAACCCATTCCGTTGGTATCTACTCTCTCTTGGTTTTTCCCCTATAAATACTTTAAACATGAAAGTTTATTCTGTTGACTTTAAGTGCAACTGATGAGTTTTAAATTGAATTAATGATCATATATTGCACAGCATGTATGTTTTTTGGCTTTTTGCAATAATACAAAATTAAAAATAGATGCTTACTTACTTAAAACATGTACCCATAGCTTTTATTGATATACAATAGCGTCTAAAACATCTTAATTCTTCTCTTTTACTGTTTAACTGGTAAGGTAAAGTATGTGTTGATGGTCATTTTATCAATGTGGCAAATTACACTTTTGTTATTTTCAAAAACACTAAACCAATCAACAAGCGAGCAGGATTAAGTGTGAACAATAATTAGCAATGGGATTCGTTTCTTTTGTTTTTGTACACAAACGTTTTTTAGAAACTAAATGTTACAACCTTTCGAAAACATCTGTTTCCTTTTTCAAGCAGTGGGTGAATTTCCGATTTTTTGGTCTATGAACAGCCGAAAGCAACTCATTTATAGCAACGGTATGCTGAATCGGTGAAGTCAGCTGTCTAATTTGTATAGATGTTTCTGAACGCATTATTCATGTCCAGAGAGATTCTTTGACCCCCCCCCCGGGAGATTCTTTGCAATTAGAATGAACACCACGAGCGTTTTCAAAACATGAACATTGCAGTGTTCCTTATTCCCCTGAATATAACTGATACCATTACCACTTCAAGTTTTTGTTTTATTCACGGGAACTCTATAGTATAATCTTTAAAGTTCATTTTGGTTGGCTCCACATAATACTGATGTTGCCTTTTTTGCACAGTTTATCTGTCAGAAGGTGGAGTGAATCCGACTGAACAGCCTGATACTGAGCTAATAGGCTTTACTGAACGTGTGGACGGTCAGAACAGCACTGGTAAGTTAATCAGGGTCGTCATACAATTCGAAAAATGTTTAGGCATTTACGTCAAAAGTTGATTTTTATATTTACAGCTAGATACTCTACAAGAGACTGAAATATCAAAGTACAGTTTGAGTGGTCATTAGATCATGACCTCTCAGGAAATGTCGTTATGTCGTTATGTCATTGTGAAATCATAATCAAATTGTAAACTGACATACAAATGTTCATCTTATACTAGACATTGGCACATTCACCTGTGAACGTCATGGACAGACTAGCTACACTTCAAAGAGACAAAAACAGCGCTGTCATAGATAGTCATCAGTTCAAACATTTCGAAAATTAGGGGGAAAAACCCTTTTTGTTTGCATAGCTTAACCATACAGAAATTATCTTCTAATTTCGTAAACATAATGTATGTCGCAGATGATGAGGTTAATAGTACAATTTAGATTGTTTATAAGAGAAACGATGGCGTAAAAGCGGCTTATTGAGAGACGGAAAGTCTGCGTGATAGTACCTGATTAAAACAATGACCTATACTTATGTATAATTATAAGGTAATTTCTGAATAAATCAATAACTTGTTTGTAATGTAACAAAGCAAATACTACAAATTAAACACGCCCAGTTGGCATGTTCAAAGATTACCAGCGGCTCCGCATCATTTGATGTCCAGCACCTAACGGTAACGGTATTATGCATCATGCTATCTATAGATTAATGTACCAGCACGCATGTGTATTGTAACTAAAAGAACAAAAACGGTGTCGAAATTGTTGAATATCGAATGCCGAAGTCATCGCGACATTTCGTTCGTCGGAAATAACTCTGACAATTCCGGCAATATCTCGCTGAGAGACAAATTATTTCATGCAAAAAAATACAGCATGTTTCCGACAGAAAATCGGATTATTATATATCGCAGTTTTGTACAATTTTCAAGCTGAAAAGAATAACAAAAAATACACAATATACATGAATATGTATACAATGTACACGAATTTGACTCAAGTGAGAGTGATCCTGTTATGGAGAACCAAAGTCAAGAGAGCCAATCAGAATACCGCGTTGTTTGCATGACTCTATAAGACCGCATAATGAATAATGTTTGTATATTTAGAACAATTACACCACCGAAGCTCAAATGACGTAAGCAAAACCGGAAACACCGAGGAGGAGGGTACGAAAACCCATGTGTCTCATTCAGGCCAGGAGATGACTGTGCCTTTAATCAATATACTGGCCAGTACACCAGGTAAGTTATTACGTATGATATTGTTTATCAGGTACGTCATGTTGTTAGGATTCAGTACACCAGGTAAGTGATTACGTATCCTATTGTTTATCAGGTACGTCATGTTGTTAGGATACAGTACACCAGGTAAGTTATTACGTATGATATTGTGTATCAGGTAGGTCATGTTGTTAGGATGCAGTACACCAGGTAAGTGATTACGTATGATATTGTTTATCAGGTACATCATGTTGTTAGGATTCAGTACACCAGGTAAGTGATTACGTATGGTATTGTTTATCAGGGACGTCATGTTGTTAGGATACAGTACACCAGGTAAATGATTACGTATGGTATTGTGTATCAGGTACGTCATGTTGTAAGGATGCAGTACACCAGGTAAGTGATTACGTATGATATTGTTTATCAGGTACGTCATGTTGTTAGGATACAGTACACCAGGTACGTTATTACGTATGGTATTGTTTATCAGGTACGTCATGTTGTTAGGATACATTACACCAGGTAAGTGATTACGTATGGTATTGTGTATCAGGTACGTCATGTTGTTAGGATTCAGTACACCAGGTAAGTGATTACGTATGGTATTGTTTATCAGGTACGTCATGTTGTTAGGATACAGTACACCAGGTAAGTGATTTCGTATGATATTGTGTATCGGGTACGTCATGTTGTTAGGATACAGTACACCAGGTAAATGATTACGTATGATATTGTGTATCAGGTACGTCATGTTGTTAGGATACAGTACACCAGGTAAGTGATTACGTATGATATTGTGTATCGGGTACGTCATGTTGTTAGGATGCAGTACACCAGGTAAGCGATTACGTATGATATTGTTTATCAACACTTCAGGTAAGATAGTAAAATGTATGGACACGGCACGTCAAAATGAAATAATAATGAAAAATTACGCGTTACGACTCTTTATAAATGATCGTGGTGAGGATGTGTTACGTTGGCAACCGTTTGAACTCAATTTACATGTATTCTATACACATGTATCTACAATTTATATAAAAATGTATTCGCGTGTAGATAGTTTTAGGCTAATCAGCCCAACGCCAAAAGTACGAGCATATCCATACACATATCGAAGCTTTCATAAGTTAATAAGCATTGACTGTTTACAAGATGCTGGGGCTATAAGGCCATTATTGGGTCCTTGCGGATTTTGCTGTTACTGTGTTGAAACATATTCCAAACTTTTGATTTTACAAAATACTTAAGAACAATATTTTTCAGTTTTTCCATCCGAAAGCATCTTCTGACTTAAATTTCCAATCGTGACATTTTTATATATAATATGAAATGCTCATATATAACATTTTAACTGTTTTGACTGGAATAGCGGATGGACCATAAACCATATACAAGACAGTCTATATTTCTGTTATGGACACCGACAATGCTTATAAATTATTTCTTCCGTTTTTTGTAGATCAAGAACAGTGACACCAGTGCTCATCACAAACGGATAAGAAAAGGATATCTATTAAAAATGGCACATGCATCCTTCTGGCTAAGAGACGAAGATTTCTTTAGCTACATTCTAGCTTTAAATTGTGAACAAAATTCTAGGAATTAATGGAAAATGATATATCAAAACAGTGAAGACTTTTACGGAAAATACCGGAGTGTAAGCAGTTTAATTATATTATCTTATCAGCTATCATTGATGCATTTCATGATAATGTGAGCTTGCAGAACCATGTGAAAAATCAATCAATATTTATATGGTACTGGGGTATACACTGCAGTTACATTTCCGTAGAAAATGTCCGTCTCACAGAAACATGGTTTCTTGTTTAAAATGTTTTATTGTGTTATATTTCTGACAACAAATGTCAATATCATGTTTTAAGAGGTAATATTATGAGTTTAAGTCAGAAACTTAGCATTAAGAACTTAACATTTCCTATAGTCGTTTCATTTTTATAAGATTTAAAAGCTCGGTGAAAGCAGGTACGGTTACTATTAATATCAACCCGTTGAAATGTCTTATCTAAAGCCACAATTAAACTATATGTAATTTGGATACAATGAACATGTACTTTAGTGAATAATAAGTAATAACGTTAGATGGGTGTGGGCTTGAGGATGCGTGATATTGGTTCCCTAAAATAATAGCAATTTATCGAGGCGATCTAGCATTTCATAGCATTTAGTGTGGTTATAAATGAGCGTGACATCTTATGACCAATTTCAATTTCATTAAATAATCTAGGTGATACGGTCCCCGGTTTCTCATGAATACACTGCTACCGTTTCCGCTGTATTTCACCATAGATTTTGTAGTTTCGGATGACCACAACCATCATCTTTTGAAGCCGGTTCCTAACCTTCATACTGGTATACTTCATAGAATGTGTCATATCGTAGCACTCAGAAGATACTGTTTTTAGTATCTGTAGACGAACTACTGAGTATTTATTATGAAGGCAACAACAGCCTTAATACCATACAATAGTCAAAACTAACGTAGCTATGCAACATGTTTAAAATTCAAGTTCAATTCAACATAAACAACCATGAACTTCAAACACATACAGCTGATTGCAACTTGAAAGTTTATAATAAAACAGTATGTCGAAAATTAATTTCACTGAAACATACAGCCGTCTCGTCCTTCTAAGACTTATCAGCAATGATAGGGACCAACGATGTGCAAATCCAAATTTGTTTCGACTCCTTTTTTTTCAAACGGAAGGGATGGTCAGTGAAACCACTATATTATGTGCATTTTGCAAACAAGAGGAGAACTCCTTAATTTCAAATAACGTAATGAATACGGCGTATATAGAATGAACCTTGCCAACACACAAAAGCGGTTATGTGGCTATCAAGGTTACGGCAAATTGCATATCTGTATTCCAATGTTAAATTGGGGTCTATGAATATGACATATCAGAAGATAAACAACTACAGGGGCCGTACCAATCTTTAGGGAGCTTGTAGATCCTTAATGCGTGTCTTAACTAGACATTCTCATCTGCTGGTAAACGATTAGTCGCAATTTAATGCGCGTGAATATTACACTATTAATGTGAAGTAATGTTGTCGACTGTAAAAATCAATTACTTTGGTCGAGATGATTTAGCTTCCATTTCCGTTCTACCAGTAAACATCAGTGTTAAGCTACTTACACAATACACCCACAGATCATGAACTCATTCCATATATATAACTTAAGCTTACGGTATATGAGAGATTGAGATTTTTTCACCGTCGATGTTGCACCTGAGAGCAGAGTCAAGGCATAACTGATGAAATATTTCAATATTTATTTAAAAGGTCAACATCAACAGGCTTCGTCTCTTTATAACAAATATGATGAACATCTCGTACATAACAATAACCCCAAGCTTTGCATTATTAATTTACCCCAAATCGAAAAAAATGTACAATTCCTGAACAGTCTTTGGCTCATAAGTTCTACTGGAGTCGATATCATTTGATATATCTAAATTTCAATGGTTAGTTGAGTTTACTAAAAATGTACCGAAATTTGATTGCGAAATTCATACTCTCATCCAAACCATCCTGTTGGTTGTTATCTTCTTAACAGCTTTCCATTCCGCCTTTTCGTTTTGCAGAGTTATCTGCTCTTGTGAGCACGTATTTATTGTTACATCATCAGTTTGTGGGAGAAAAATTCGTCGTTTTCTCAACGTTCTCTCACAAACAAATGACGTAACAATCAATACCTGCTCACAAGAGCAGATAACTCTGCAATACGAAAAGACGGAATTTACTGACACAATATATTGTTTTCTACTATGACTGCATGCATTATTTATATGGAAGATGTAGTTTGCACTTGAATGTAGATGTACATTTTTAATTGACATAATCAATACAAAAGTAAAGATCTAAGCTATTTCCTTTGAATTTCTACAGCCTGAACTGTGCAGAATAATGCAAAACATCACATTATTAAAAAATGGTAAGGTTTTATAATCAAAACACGACTTTGTATTTCATTTTTTTAAGGTGTCATTTTGAATTTTAAAATGTATAGTTTTATTAAAAATGTCAATATCATCAATACAAGCTGTACGCAAACACTGTGCCAATATGTCTTGTAAAACCTACAGTTTTTAAGATATTAAGTAGCGTTTCTTCATGTGTCTTATCCTTGCATTTGTAATACATATTTAACAATTTTGAAATATTTATCATATGTTTTGTTCATTAACTTCAGGCTATATATGCACAAGTATTCCGTGAATTGTTATTTCATGTATGAGCGTGGTTCTGATCTGGACTACGTGGCTGTCGCGTGTCTATGCATTGAACCTATGTGTATACTTTGCCTCCACCGACAGTTCTTCGATATAATATATACACGAATGATTTAAAAGCAATCTTTTCTGTATTTGCATATGCACCTATGTTTCCCCTTCAGGCATTTTGGGTTTTCTCAATCCCAACTCATTGGATAAACCTACTAGAATCGAGTTGGTAAGCAGATTGATTACCCGTTTAATGAGTGACACCCTGGACGTTTTTCATTGGTGAATCTTTTAATTAAAACCCCAAGAAACAGTGTTTTGCGACGTCATTCTCCGATGTAATGCCATAATTCATTATAAATGATCCCCCGAACGGAGACAGGAGTAATGTACTCCCCAAAACAAAGTGGTTTTCTGTAAAAAAAATCGAAGATTATGGGAACGCCCTCTCCCAAATCCCCAAACTCGCGATGGTTAATCGTCATTTTTATTTAGCTCTAGTTAGTTGATTTTCGAACTTTGAAAGACACTTGGTAAACCTTTGAAAATTAACTAACTCGAGTGAGATTAACATGTTATTCAACCATGCATGATAACCAATCAGCATCCATTGAGGGACGTCTACATATACAATGGTGTACCTAGTAATACGAAAATGATTAAAACAAGGAGCTGCTTGTGCTAATGTCGGAAACATGGTTTATCAGGTTAGATATTATTATTATGACGTCAATTGCCAATCATATTATATCATACACTGTTTCACCGCTATTTTACTGTTTACGATCCTGTCACTTTAATCCTATCACCTTGACTTTCAAACCAACAAAACTTCTGAACTTAAACAACGTTCTAAATTCTCAAAATCAACGTTTATGAAAAACGTAAAATATCCATGATTTTTGTTTTGAAATAAGTCAACTCTAAAATAGAAACAATGAATGAATTGCGGATAATCGACCATTTTTGTAGGCACATGGCAATGTATACTATAGGAACATTTTAGTTAAGAAAGTTCATAATGTTCAGAAGGAGTAGTTACTGAGTCTAAGTCAAGCAATTAAGGAACATTTCGGTTAAGAACGTTCAAAGAGTTCGGAAGTAGTTCGTTACCGAAGCCGAGTCACAGTCAGACTTTTTCCTATGCAAGGAATATCTGTTCATGACGTGTTCAGTTCATCCGTGTCCTGTCTAATCCTATGCCTTTTTCTTAAACAAATGTATATATATTTTTTATCTACAACATCATGAAGTTGTTTATCTTTTTGTTGAACTGGAGGTGTATTTAGCATGATACATTCAGGAAGATTCATGCGTTTCTAACTGATCCCGCTCTCAGCAAATGACCTTAAGATTCATATTATTGTGTCGTGTTCTGCGATGCTGTCCAAGTAGTTTACACTGCAGCAATAGAGCACCCTTCTATTCTAAATGTGTGGTTGAACCAGTAGTACGTTCTCACGGCCGAGATTTTATTTAATCAAAACCACCATGCCTTATACGATATATATAATTATCACACTCAGATAAAATTCCAAAATATGTATTTATTCTTTTTCAAATTAAAGATGACAATCTTGCTTTAATCTGTTTAGGATGTTTGAATGAATAAGTACATTTTAAACGTATGTACCTATTTTTGAATAACACTTCGATATAGAACTGACACCGTGAACAGATTTTGTTTAAAATTTTATATAGAATATATTCAGTTTCATATATTTTAAGTCGATTGTTATTCATATTACGTTCATCACGAAATATAGCTGTTAAGAGGTAACTAGTTTTTACTGTGTATAAGTAGAATTAATTAGTGTAAGTGAATTAAACAAAATTGATATGAATTAGCACCGCTTTTTTTACGTCCTAACCTGTATTATGTGTAGTGAGTTACGCCGCTAACATATACACGTGCTAATACACTTACTATTCAGACACCTTTGACTGTCAGTGTATCAGGCAGCAATGTTAACTTAGCTTATTGAGCGTTGATAAATGCATTACGTTTTGTTTTACTTTGTGGTTGTTACATTGAAACACTGAACAATCAAAGAAAAAGGAAAATATTCGAAATTTCGAACATCGACGTTGTGGTACATTTTAGTTAAAAAGTGTTTAGAAATTTATTTTATATATATATTGTCCATGTTTGAAGACGTTTATTTACAAGATATTTATAATTACACATTCGGGCGAGAGAAAAAAACAACAGAACATGAGATAGCAATATGACTTGGAACTCTCGATCGTACAAGGGAAAGCCGGCCAAGGACTCTCTATCATGTAGCTATAGGCGAGGTATGGCCAAGGATTCTCAATGGGGGGACGGAAATCTGAATAGATCTTGTAAAAGCATCTTGAACTCAGTGCAAATCTACTCAATGTGTAGAAGTTCAAATTCATAAGTTTAATCTTTGTTACTTTGAAGAAAGGTAAAACATGTATCATTTGTTTACTTTAGTTTCATTTACTAAAGTGGTAACTGTTTTGTCAGTTTTTTATTGTTAATATTTATAGTCAGAGGGTTATATCGCTACCAATGTTTACAATAATCGTTGTTACTGTACTCGAATTTTACTATCGTTAACTATTTCCTAAGTAGTGACATAAGCAAGTGTCTACGTCTTATGCAGAACAAACGTACCCTTCAGGGCCACACCTTCTGTTTTTGTTGGGGTGCGTATTATCCTTTTCATTCTGTCCATCATGGCCTGTTTCTATGCGTTTACATTGATATTGAGATCCATATTAGTCATTGTCTCACGATATTTGTTTTCTGTTATACACACTAATCAAACAAATATCGTTATCTGTTAATAAAGACCATATCTATTGTGGAAAACGTTACAACTAAGGGAGTATTTGTTTGGTAATAATGCTGCTGTACCACAGAGAATGGACACCACAGATACCTAGAAATACTTAATGTAGGAGCAACAAAAGCGTTGTGTTTAAACGTACAACTGTCCAGGCAGACATATTAATTATTGATTTGAACTCCCAAGGCTTTTTCATCATAACTATCAAACGTAAAAAATACCAAAGGTCTTCATTGCAATCAATATTGTTTCTCATATATCACCACATGACAATACGTGTTGTCAGCAACAGGTAATTGTCATATTCTGTGATCTTACTCGCGCGTAACACTACAAAACAATCGTTAATGGAACTGGCTATTGTTTTGTACTATGTCGCTTAACAGACCGGAAATAAAAGTAATGCATATATGAATACACTTCTATATCAAAATCAAGATATCGTTATATCGGAATGTAAACGTCTATTGGAACAGTATTTGTTCTCCTATTTATCTTAGTCTATGATAAAAATATAAAAGTATATAAGCATCTCATACATTTTCCCTTTATTTTGTGTGAGTAACATTTTAAGTGTGTTGTTGTTTCCAATACCTAGTTGTGAGTATATTTCAACATTTTGGCTGGATATTTTTAAGATACTTAACTTAATATCTTGAAATCATGTCTTTAAATTCCCATCGGGTCGAAGTAGACCCAAATTAAACGATAAGTGATCAAGTTATGAAAAATATGTCACTAATATATCACCATATATTACTTTCCGTGTATGGAAGTTCATACACGACAAAGCATGTATCAACGGCCCGAATCGCCATGTAGAATACGAAATATTTAGTAACAGTATCTATTCCGGAGTTTATCCTTCGTATTTCAATCAGCTCCACTTATTGTACTCTTCCGTCTTTGCGTATTACAGAGTTATCTTCTCTAGAGAGCAGGTATTGATTGTTACGTCATTTGTGTTTGAGAGTAACGTCATCGGTTTGTGTGAGAAAACGACATAATTTTCTCACACAAACCCATGACGGAACAATCAATACCTGCTCTAAAGAGAAGATAACTCTGCAATACGCAAAGACGGAATTTAGACACTGCCAGTATATATCCTACCTTGTTTATAACATAATGTTTGTTAATTGCGTGTACACATTTATCTCTTAGTAAATTCCTACTGTGCGGTCCTGTATGACTTTATTGTGTTGACATGACGTCATGCCTTAAGCAAGCAAACCCGTCTCTGTTTCCTGTGAAACCGTTCTCATGCTCAAGCATAGATTCTGTGCTCAAACCAACTTTCTTGTAACTCGCTTAAATCTTGTCAAGCGATCAAAAAGTCAAATGTAAACATTGGAAACAGTTTCCGACTTAAAGTTTTTTCAATGTTTTTCCAAATCATTGAAAAAAAATTGTTTCTATGAATTTATAACGGGAAAAGGAAATTAGGCTTGAGCACAAATTTAATACTTGAGCATGAGAACGATTTCATGAATACGGACCCAGAATATTGTTTGTACTGGTATACAATACTATTACGTACACTGTCTTCCAAAATACTAATCAAACTTTATAAATCATAAAACATTGTTCCCATATGAAATCATAAAGATTAATTGTGTGACATTATTTTAGTATTTAATTGCTTTCAGTTAATACTCAATCCTACAAAGATAAAGGTCCGGTTCCTCAACGCCTGATGGTTTACTTTTTTTTTAGAAAAATCGAAAAAAATACAATAATTTTTGTGTTAAATTTTTGCTTTGATTTGTAAGTTTTTTTTTTTATATAAATAAACTTCCGGAAGGTTTTGCGTGAAATTAATGTCAACAAATAATAGTATGACAATTGAACCGTGCTTAATCAATGTTTATACTGCAAGCTTAAACTTACTGCAGTGTTCGTATCAGCTTAATTTTCTCTATGTTCACCGATAAACTTTTCAACTTTATAGTGCATTGCACACATAACACGACTAAAAGAGGCTAACGGATCGTGGCATTTGTCTAGCAACCCAATCTTGCTATGTCATCATAAATCATAAAAATTTCAATCTTTAGATACTAAAACTCCATGCAAACGATTTAAAATATCTTTATATGTGCTATGAATATTGTGATAATCTATAATCATATTTGTCTTTTCAAATATTGACATTTTTTTTATCAATGTATTAATCAATCGTCCTATTTGCTGTTAATTTGATGTTTTTTTGATTTTCAACAATAAAATTTTCTACTATTTGTACACATTCTAGTTTTCTATTACGTCGTTGAGACATTGAAATGAAATAGAACATCTTTTATAGAAAGTAATTTTGTGCCGCAACTGAAGTAAGCATTTGCATAGTGGTTCCCTGAAGGAATCCTGTCCCAGTGCACACAGTTGAGCCAAGAAACTTCAGTTGATGAGGTAGTTCAGTCGGTAAGACCGACAATAAAACAATCAAACATCTAGGCTTCAAATCCTGGGTTAGCCCTGCTTAAGTTTTTACACTAAAAATACCGTCATTAGGTTTTCCATTAAAGTCCCGCAAGAGATGGTTTTCTTTTCACAAATGATTTATCAAAGCTACAGTCATGCTGGAAACACTGTTTCTGGAAGCGTTGTGAGAAAAATTAACAGCTACATGTTTATTAAAAATATTGCTGAACCAATGATAATGGCATGTATTTAACTTGTTTAAGATTACCGTCTCATTTGGATGCTACAATAAATATAGATTAAAGGGTATTTTATAAACATATCTGCGGTCCACAGGACCTGTTAGAAAAAGGAAGTACACCAGACCTGCCAGGTTTAGTCATAACACTGTGTCGAAGTCGTTCACAAAGGAACAAGATGTTTTTTTTCATATCTCACTGCTTGTCAAGTCAAAAACAATATTAAAGTTTTGAGACAAACTGAGGTCTACAAGTTAGAACACTGTCTAACTGCTAGGGTTCGTCCATCTTCGATATCCAGAGGTTTCTCTGCAACCCTGGAATATGTCATAGCAAAACTGAAGGCACGAAGATGGCTGTTTGATTGGTATCTGGTAAAAAAAACCTGACCAATCGCTAGGCTGATACCTGTCCTTTGAAGATTACAAAGGAGCGATGCCCGACTTCAAAGCCTGTCATTTTTACCGTTACGTGACCGCGAGATTCTTTTGGTGTACATCAAAGGATCGAACTAGTCTTCTTGTCTCATCCACAAGGTGCTGCTGCATATTGAGCCTTCGATTTTGCTATGACATATTCCAGGGGTGAAGAGAGCGAAAATGCTGGATCTTGTGACAGACTCTGATCTACAAGATCTCCTTGGGATTTATGAGGATTTATAGAACATTGTGTCGCAACAATTAAGGGCTAGTCAGTCACACACCGCGGAATAAAACAACACTGTGTCGCTTCTCCAACTAGATTCATTAAAGGGCTTGTTTCCATGTGTGTAACGTATGCGTGTATGTGTGCTAGAGGCTGTGTATATCGGTATATTTGCCACCTTCAGTTAACGTCGATATGATGCCATCTGTAGTGTGCTACATGTACCTCACTGAATTACCATACTAAAGGTACCATGCACAGTATTCACCCGGTCATATACTGACATCTGAAAAAACAGTCACTATTAATCTGAATTGCCTTCCTCACATAGGTCTTCAAAATAAACAGAATTGGTTTGCCAAGGGAGGCATTATTAGCTATAAAGGTAAAGATTTGAAAACTGTATAGTTTAGAATTTTCGCAATTGAAATCTAATTTCGCTATATACGCGGTCAACAAAGATAAATCACATCACTCAAATACAAAAGTACCAAATTGAGGTTACTATTGTTACCTGGCATTGATTTCGAAATCTATTCTCCATGATCGTTACAACCGCGAAATATCAGTCCCGCAAAAATTAACAACTATACAGTACAGGTAAGTATTGGATAGGAATAGGCCAGGTCCCAACTGTGGAACACGTTATCATCACAAATGTGTTAGTATACATGTTTCATGTACTTTAATGATACATATGAAATTCCCTGTTTTTAAACACGTACAATATTAATGTATGAATTCACACGCACACTTCAGTCCTGCCACGACAATAGCAAGGTGGTGATCTACCAAACTGAGGTTCGGTTTGGTTTAATTTTGTTTAACGTCCTATAAATAGCTAAGGTCATTTAAGGACGTGCCTTCATGTGTGTAGTGTATGCGAGCATGCGTGTGTGTATGCAGGAGATAGGGTATGTTCCTTGCTTTCTTGCGATAGCGCGGATCTGATGCCGACTTTATAGTGCTATCTCACTGAAATACCATGCGGAAGGCAACAAGCATAGCATTCCGCCCGGTCACATTATACTGACAAGGGGTGAACCAACCGAGGACTAAAAGTACGCTGTATCGCTGCTAAATCTAGTCACAAACTGAGGGCTAAACGAATACTGTCGCTGTCCACGATAGTAAAATAACAGGACTGAAAGAAAACTGATTTGCTGCTGGAGCTGTTTAACGCAGGTAAAAAAATGGGTTCTACAAAATCTACTAGGGCTATTAAACAAGAGGCCCAATGGGCCTGCATCGCTCACTTTGTATAAATCTCACACTTTTAACCTTAAAAGTGATCTATATAAATCTCACACTTGTAAACTTAAAAGTGATCTAAAATAAAGCTACACGCAAAATATCAGTATTTATGATTAAAATTCATTCAAAAGACCCTGATAAATTTTTTAAAACATTTTACCCCACTGATTGAAAGTCGAACAAATTTTATAACCTTTCATCTCAGGATGCAACTTGCAAGGTATCAACATCCTGGGACCCATGGTTATTCAGAAGAGGTCGTTTACAAATTTTAAACAAATTTGACCCCTGTGACCTTGAATATAGGTCAAAGTCATTCACTTTAACAAACATGGTAGTACTTGATCCCAGCATGCTACTGACTAAATATCAACATCCTGAGCCTTTTGGTTATTCAGAACAAGCTGTTTGAATATTTTTAACATATTTGACCCCTGTGACCTTGAATATTGGTGAAGGTCATTAATTTAAACACACTTTGTTGCACTCCATCTCAGCATGTTACTGGCCAAGTATCATCACCCTGGGCATTTTGGTTATTGAGCAGAAGTTGTTTAAAGTTTTTAACATATTTGACCCCTGTGGCCTTTAATATGGGTGAAGGTCATTCATTTGAACACACTTTGTAGCTCTTCATCTCAGCATGCTACTGGCCAAATGTCATCACCCTGGGCATTTTGGTTATTCAGAAGAAGTTGTTTCAAGGTTTTTTAAAACAATTGACCCCTGTGACCTTGAAAATGGATGAAAGTCATTCATTAGGACAACGTTGGTAGCCCTTCATCCCAGCATGCTACTGGCCAAATATCATTATCCTAGGCCTCTAAGTTATTCAGAAGAAGTTGTTTAAAGTTTTTAACATATTTGACCCCTGTGACCTTGAAAATAAGTGAAGGTCATTTATTTGAACAAACTTTGTAGCCCTTCATCCCAGTTTGCTTCTGGCCAAATATCGTCACCCTAGGACTTGCGGTTATTAAGAAGAAGTTTTTTAAAGTAAAATATTGATGCCGGACGACAGACGCTGGACGGACGGACAACGGACGCTGCACCATGCCATAAGCTCACTTGGCCCTTCGGGCCAGGTGAGCTAAAAATGATGATTAACGTACCACTGACTCGCTGCTAGAAACACTGACAACTGAGTACCACTGTACCATTTTTGGAGTTAATGACAAATTGGGTCGACATTTACGAGATCGGTTTTTGCTCATCAAAAACTTCAGACTAGAAGAACACTGCATCACTGCCAGAGCTAAACAAAAGTGTGGATTAGATTATAATGATTTCGCTGCTAGAGACAGTCAAAACTGCGATCTACAAAACAGTGTCTCCCGCTGCAGACTCAAAACAAACGTTCTGTGCTCAAATAACTGTCTGTCTAGTGATACCTTCACTAGTTTGATAACAGCATACTACTGATATATTCATTTTACAATCAACATATTCTGTATTACTATTTCTATAAACATGCGAAATCGCTGGACAATACGTCAGGATTGTTTAGTCGATGGTGAATGGAAACACAAATATAGTGCAACAGGAAAGAGAGTAATATGCTAACAGTGGGGATTGTCCCGCTACATACCCCTAGCCTGATTCCGAGTCCGTCATTCTACAGATTGAGCTTAGGAGAAATTCCCTCAAGCACGAATCTAGCGGCCGACCGCAATCCCATGTACAATTAAAACCTGTCACAAAAGCATCCGGTAGTATTGCATTCATAGACCAACCTTAAACTACTTCTGCATAGTGGCTATGCCATGATTGTATTTAACAGCAAGAATCACTACACGTGAATGTTTTCCAATCGGAAACTGTTTGAGTAATTGGGGACCAATCATGACATGACGTCAAATTCAAATTATGTCGGAAATTCCCGAATGGTTTCCGAATGATGTTTGCGGCCCGAAAGAAATAGTAACCATTGATCATGACAACACAATCTTGTTCCCGTAAAACGGCTATTCCTCCATTTGGTAAAAAAAATGTTTAAAATGTATTTTGTAATGAATGGGACCATAAAGAACAATAAAATAGCATTGCACATTACACGTAAATGTAAGGACTGAAAAGAACCTTTTAAACATTAATGATGGTGTGGACATATAACAGTTTCATTTAAACATACTCCCGAAGACACGCCGAGAATATGTTGGAACGGAACTGTATTTCATATCATCATAAATGTTTTAAAAAAGCTTTGTAAACCTGAACTAAATGAAAATAAACAACAACTATGGAACAATTGTCATCAAATATCTATTGATAAATTTCCATTTCACATGAAAAGAACCCTTGGTCAAGTGAATAATTCATCGATTGCAAAAAATGCCACCAGACTATCAGAGAATATCTACAACAGATGACGCCAGTTTGGAAATCAGTATATTTCATTGCATCATATCAAAAGAATATGTAACATTCTGTTTTGATTAATTTTAAGGTACTTGAGAGAGAAAATAATTGATTTCACTGATACGTTTTGTGGCCTGTCGATAAAAGATTTTCGTGATAACAAGTTTTAATCATCTTCTTCCGGTGTTTATCCAAAAATTTGTTTTTTCTGTAACATTTATCTAGCATTATTTTTTGGAAATAGAGCATTATAAAAACTGCATACATGGACAAATGACAAATACTTTACTGAACAATAAGGCAAAATAATGTCCCTCATAACCACCTCATTTGCATGATATTTTTATATGATATATTTGATTTTGACATTACAGTGAATAATTTAGTGGACTGATCAAAATTAAGTTAATTTATGTGTTAGACATTAAGTTACTGATGATTTAGTTTACATAACAACATGACAAGCACATAATTCTTAAAACTGATTATTAGATATTTTTGAGGTACCCAAAATAATGTCAATACAACAGTTCCTATGTGTTCTATACAGAGCCTTATACTGCTTGGACTTATCAACTTTCCTGACTTAGATCAATAGTTTCAGCTTGCTGTTTTTTTCAACAATTATCAATATTTCTAACATACGAAACCAGACTGAACAAGCTGAAATATCTTTTAAAAGGAAATATTGAACATGCAATTATTTTATTTGTCAAACACATAAATACATATGGTATGATCAGCTCTTAAGACCAAAACTATGCCCATTGTATTAATTTCATATTTTGGATTTGAACTTTAACACAAAGTTCTATAGCAGCCATGGTTAAAAAAATCTCCTATTATTAAAATAAATCACCCAGATTTTAAAGCTTTCCTGTTTGCTTAATAAAAGTGATGCAGATATTAAGAAAAAAACAATCTGAAAGCGGTAAAACTGTTTTGTTTTTGTTTTTGTCAAAATACTTGACTATATTAAATCTAATCTTGAAAGTTGAATAAGATATTACACTGCAACGCTGTCAAATTTTTTACCAGATTAATACAGTTTCAATTCTTACAACTTAATCAGTCAAAATCAAACTGGTGTCAGATTATCAAGTTCTGCATACTGGCTGATTTTTTCACAAGAGGTGCGTGCTTTTGTGATTCCTCCATGGGTCGGTCAGTTTTTATCTGTTCTATTGTGATTCCTCCATGGGCCGGTCAGTTTTTATCCATTTGATATCACAAACCTGTGCTATGTGGTCGGAGGGAAACACCACACTGGGTAGGGCTGTGTGCAAAATTACCTCGTCATGGTCGGGAGGTGGAACAACTTTTTCAACAGTGAATTTATTGCTGTCTATGAAAATGTAGTCTAGCATTTCATTGAACTCTCCGACATAGTTGGTGTACTTTGGATAGCCACATGCACTGATCAGCGACTGACTGTGGGAAAATGTCATATCGGTAAGATGAGCTTCTTCTGGTTTACCTGCAAAAATGAAGATGTTAATTAAATTCATGATGCCATTCTTCACTTGCACAAGGAGTCCGTGGTGCCTGTATAGGTCATCTGGGTTTTAAAGCAATAATGGCAAAACACTTGTATCAAATAGAATTGTATAACAAAGAATTTCCGTTTTGGGTCAGCATCTTTGCACCAAGTGGCACAACAGCCCTTCATGATATACAATTTTACCTTCTGTTTCAAGGGACACTTTACAGCAAATTTGGTTGAAACACAATCAGCTGGTCTGGAGAAGTGGGCTTTCAAAGATTTAACACTTAAACCCCTATTTTTACATTGCACTTCAGACCCCGTGGGAGCTACACACATCCTTAATCCGCATGTAATAACCTTTAAACAAAATATCCGGGGACGGGGAGAGGCTGAACCCTGGACCAATAGCATGAGTACATATGCTGCCTAGCAATTGATACAAATGGTTATAGGGTTGGAATCACAGCTGTTTATATGTAACGACCCAGTTATTAAGTCACCTAGGGCTGAGCTTACACCTGGGGACAATCCTTATGTATTTGTCTTGTGATGATATGGTGGTAATCTCAGCCCTATCAAATATCCATGTTGAGACCCATAGACTTTTAAAGTCATCAGGGACAAAGCTTTCCAAGGACTAATCCTGCTAGGTTGATTGTGTTCATTTCTTCAAGGTTTCTCAACCATTTCTATGCAACAATTGGTTTGGGTAGGGTGGGTTTGACCTGCATAAAACCGTTCTCATGCTCAAACATGGATTCTGTGCTCAAGCCACCTAAATCATGTCAACGATCAAAAAGTCAAATAAAAATATTGAAAACAGTATTTCACTTCAAGTTTCTTCAATTTTTGTCCAAAGCTTTAACAAAATAAGATTTTTTCAATGATTTATAACTGGAACAAGAAATTAGACTTGTGCACAAAATCCATGCTTGAGCATGAGAAAGGTTTCATAAATACGCGCCCAGGATCTTGAAGCAACACTCTAGTAGACAGAATGGCCAGACCATATTCTAACTGACACAGAACGCATCACAAAATTGTTTACATGGGAATTTTATACAAACAAACATCTTAAAAAGTCCAGTTCACATGATAGTCTACTATGTACTTCAACTCGAATAGCTGGGCTTTTCCAGTTTTAAAAGCAATCTTTTTTTAAATATACAGCAAAGATTATGAATTCTTTTTATTATAGACTGATGAAGTTATAAAATATTTCTGAAAAATCCATCCACTTTTTATCAATATTAATGGAAGAAAACTTGTATTAAGTGGTTGATAATATAATGTCACCTTTGTCAAAAATCAGTAAAAAGTGACACAAGTAATTTCAAATTTAACAAGCAAATTCGTGGAATTTATATCCCCCGCTTGTAGGATACATTGTAGGTAAACACTATTGAGGTTAGATTTAAACATGTGAGCATCGGCTGTTGAGACATAATGTATAGCTTGAAAAAACCCAGCCTTATACAGAAGTGAGACTTTTTATTGAACATGTAGGTATTACAGTGTAAATTAATCGTTTAATCCATCAGAATTTACTAACCTCATTAATTATCCGTAAATATGCACAAATCACATCGGTTGGCAAACTTAGCATAAGTAGGAGCGCATACAAAATTACAAAACCAAAGAGTTAATCAAGGGGCAAAAAACTCCGCCAAATGAGTCTGATTAAAGGGGTTGTCAAACTTGGAAGAGCCCTTAATGAATTGAACCCTGCACTAAGTTTGAAGACAATCGGATAATATTTGCGAGAGGTCTGAAGACTTTTTGAAATTTTTTTTTTGGACAACTTCTATATGAAACATGTCAGAAATCAATATATATTGTGTTTTTTTTCATAGATGCAGTTATTTCACATATCAACCATTCCACTCGCATTAATATAACAGTCCCAGTTTTATATTGCTCTTGGATTCACTGGGTAGTCTCCCCTTACCTGGAGTATTCCAGTCTGAAAGATCGCTGGGTACGTGGCATTGGGTCACAAATTGGTGGACTCCATTGGTAGGTCTGCTGTTGAAATCTCCACAGAAAATGATTGCCAAATCTACTCCCTATCAAAACAAGTAAAATGTATGTAAACAAAAAATTCATTTAATGATATTTTAGACATAATTTAAGAATTTTTACAAGAGAGAAAAATTAAAAATTCTTCAATAAATTCGAAAGACTTACTTCACCCTTTTGGGAATGAAATGGGAAAACATGAATCAATGCAGCATTGCTATTAAGTATCCATTAAATAACATCACCCTAAGGGTTGAGATTTTCTGCCTTATACATATACAGTGGAGTGATTTTTTCTCTGCAACTTCTCCTTTTTATTACTAGTAAAATACATGTGATAAAAATGACAGAAACTTTATATTGCTTTTGTAAAAAAATCCTTTCTATGCTATCTAACTTTGTAAAATATCCTGTGAAAACTGGGCCAATATGAAATTAGATGATATATATCTCTTTATTATTGTTCTTGTCTCACCTGTTCTTTGTATGTTGCTTTGACCTGCTCTAAGTGTTTGATACACAGGATGCTCTGAAGGAGCCTCACGGCGCCGGCATCAGGTCGGAAGTACAGGTGAGTGTTGGCCATACATAACACCTGACTTGGGTCATCAATGCTCCTTAGCGCAACCACCTGTAACACAAAGGTTTGGAATTATAAAACAAAAGGTTTCCCTAAATATCTTATTTCAAAACTGTTTAGATAGTTTATACACTGCACACTTCCATCCGTGGCCTACTAGATAGGTTAGCAAGAGGCCCAATGGGTCTGCATTGCTTACCTGGTATTGATACACCATTTGTAACCTTAAAAGTGGACTAAAAGAAAGCTACAGGCAAAATATCAGTGTCTTCACTCAAAGTCATTCAAAAGTACCTGCTAAAAGATTTAGACACATTTAACCCCTGTGACCTTGAAAATCAAATGAGGACATTAAAGTGAACAATCTTTATAGTCCTTCATCCCAGAATGCAACTTGCCAAATATCACCACCCTTTGTTTATTGAGAAGATGACCTTCAAGATTTATAAACAACTGACCCGTCAAATTCTGGTCAAATATCATCACCCTGGACCTTTTGGTTATTCAGAAGAACTTCAAGAAGTCTTTTAAAAGATTCAAACATATTTGATCTCTGTGACCATTAATGTGGATCATGGTCATTCATTCATCCTAGCAATTTTACTGGCTAAATATCATCACCCTGGACCTTTTGGTTATTTAGGTGAGCTTGTTTAAAGTTTGTTTTAAGACAATTTACCCCTGTGACCTTGAATGTGGGTGAAGGTCATTCATTTGAACGAAATTGGGGGGCAATCATCCCAGCATGCTACAGGCCAAATATCATCAACTTAGGTATTTTGGTTATACAGGAGTTGTTAAAAGTTATTCACATTTTTGACCCCTGTGACCTTAAATATGGATGAAGGTCATTCATTTGTACAAACTTAGTAGCCCTTGATGCCAGTATGCTTCTGGCCGAATAACATCACCCTAGGCCATTTGGTTATTAAGAAGTCTATAAAAATAAAATCTTGACACCGGGCAACATAGGGAGGTACGACGGACGCTGCGCCACAGCATAAACGCACTTAAAAATTAGCTTGATATAAAAAAATCCTATTTAATTTCAAAACTAATTTTAATGTTAACAATATATGTGAATGGCTGAGGACTCTACTTAAAAATAAGCACAAAAGAATTTATACAAAGTCATTTTGCGTTTCTACACAAGTAAGTTATTTGGAGTTTATTGCACCACACCAGAGGGACAAAAATTTCTGATAAGCATTTTATTTTTAAAATTTCATTTATAAATCTATAAACTACTGTTGCTGGGTGATACAAAACATTAATATCTGATTAAGCTGTGAAAAACAAGAAATATGTTTGATCATCATACATGTATCATGTATATGACCAAAGGTCTAGAGAAACTCACAGCTCCTACCAATAACATAGACCTTATGAAGAGTTTATAAAAATAATTCAAAATTGATGAAGTAAAAAATTATGAATAGACATTAGACATCACTTCTTCCATTCCCATTCACTCAGAGTGATATTAATATTGCCGTACAAACCTGTAGTACAGCTCCGTGGCCCTCTATCAATATTGTAAGTTCTTTATCTATACTGATCTTCTCGCCTATATCAGCATATGCTGGGTTGTTCTTAAGCTGTTCTGAGAGGAGAATGCTGTGATCTGCTTCAAAGCTGTTAAAGAGTTATAGGAAAACATACATAATTATCTTTTTCAAAAAAAGAGAATATTTCTCGAGCAAATTTTAGTGTTTATCTTGAGGATGGCAAATAGCAACTGTTTATTTGCTGTCCTTTTGAAATGAAAGTGGCTGGGTGAAAAATAAAAAAAAATGGAAATACCGTTTCCCAGAGTTTGGCCTGATTTCGAGCGTTACATTTTTGCCAACTGAAACTTATCTTTTCATATCTTCATTGAATGATGAATAGTGAGTATCAGTCAGTTCTTTTTTGTTTGCTAAATACTGTAATTTTAAAAAAAATATGTAATTATCCTGTTTCATCTTTTTGTTTATGAATGTACATATAATATATCCATGAATACATTCCCTGTACAAAAGTACATGCATCATTACATATTGTTTACAGTCTATATATTTTTTGATTTTTCAAATTTAAAATAAACAATTAAAATATCAAATTAATGAAACAATTGAGATTACTGTAGGAACTTTCTTTGTCTGCCTTGCCTAACATTAATGTCTCAAATAAGAGCAGGAATATGAATATACCAAGGTAATGTTTGAAGTTTTGAAACGATAAAAAATATTGTTAAAACAATATATACATTAGATTAATGTTGTAATCCAACATTTTTTAAACAACTAAAAAATTCAACCTTTAACCCTTTCATGACTGTCGACCATAATGAACTCATCTAGATAAAATATAAAATGATAGTAGAGTCTACTAAAGTTACCTAGGGGTGAAAGGGTTAAAACAAATGTTAATTTCATGTTAGAATGTATAATTAAATATTGATATTTTTTTTATGTCATATCAACAAGGAACACATTTTTTTAGCTTGGAATTGAAATGCTTTGAAAAAATGTCTGTGTAGCCTACAGCTTGAACTGTTTGTAAAGGGGAGGGCGCTTGTATAGGCAATACGCCTTGTATAGGCATTACGCCTTGTATAGGCATTACGCCTTGTATAGGCATTACGCCTTGTATTGGCATAATGCCTTGTATAGGCATTACGCCTTGTATAGGCATTAAGCCTTGTATAGGCATTACGCCTTGTATAGGCATTAGGCCTTGTATAGGCATTAAGCCTTGTATAGGCATTATGCCTTGTATAGGCATTACGCCTTGTATAGGCATTACGCCTTGTATAGGCATTACGCCTTGTGTAGGCATTAAGCCTTGTGTAGGCATTACGCCTTGTGTAGGCATTACGCCTTGTATAGGCATTAAGCCTTGTGTAGGCATTACGCCTTGTATAGGCATTACGCCTTGTATAGGCATTAAGCCTTGTATAGGCATTACGCCTTGTATAGGCATTAAGCCTTGCATAGGCATTACGCCTTGCATAGGCATTACGCCTTGTATAGGCTTTAAGCCTTGTATAGGCATTATGCCTTGTATAGGCATTACACCTTGTATAGGCATTAAACCTTGTATAGGCATTAAGCCTTGTATAGGCATTACGCCTTGTATAGGCGTTACGCCTGTTTCCCAATTCCTTTTGAAATTGTGTAAGATGCAATATTTAATAAAGCCTTAGTGAAATAAAAACTGTTTGTAAAAGATAGTTACATAATTTCTAAATCTTCAAACATCAGTTCTATTTCAAAATAACATGACTCAACATAGAGAAATCACCGAACTACTTAACCCTTTCACCACTGTAGTCCATTATAGAGTGGACTCACCCAGATAAATGTATGGTATAGTCTACTTAAGTTACCTAGGGGTGAAAGGGTTAAACTATAAATTTTGAATAGATACCTGAATTTAGACTTCCTGAAGAAAATGGCTTCTCCCTCTGGTGCATTAGTACCTTTCCATTTCGCCATCCCTGTATATCCAATTGAATCTAATGCTGGTAAGAGATAGGATTTAAATCCTTTTCTGTCCACTTCTTGAAGACACATAATATCACAGTTGTAGCCTGTCCAATCAAACAAATCATACAATTAAGCAACCAATAATGTAAAGAAGAAGAAATTTGATAAATAGTAAACAATTCTGTCGAAAAACATAAAAATAATGTTGTCACTTTATTTTGATATTCTTTCCCATTGAATTATAAAGTGAGCTGATGATTAATGAAACCAATCATCAATCAGTTTACTACCTCTGATTACAAACCAATTGTGATTTTAAACTGTCCATTTCTAAATGTTTTGTCAATAAGACGAATTACCGTAGATTTCCTTTAAGAGCAGCGGTTTCCTGTAGTCCCCTTTGAGGGCATAGGGTGCACAGTAAGAGTACAGGATGTCTCTTGTGTAGTCAGTGTCAGCGTAGTAGTCAGCCAGGATGTTATAGCTCATCACCCGTATACTGTGGAGACAATATTTAGATGTATAAGACAAGTTGGAGACAAAGCCAAAAGAAATTATGAAACTCTGCCAATGTCTTGAATACACTTATATTAAATATCAGCCTTATTCCTAGGTGTCACATAATATCGTTTACATGGGAAAAAAGACTGATTTGTTTTCCGCTGTGACCCCTCTCGGAAGTTCCTTATACAATTTGCATTCCTTCCCTTGAGCTCTTGGTAAGGGAAAAATGGGGGATAACAGATATAGTTTCAATTTCTCTGATGGCACAGAGATTTCATTTGCTGATTATCCTAGCACCGATAGCCCTTAGCAGCGTCATATAATAATAGTTCTGTAGAGGATATCATATTAATTATATAAGTATGTGTTTTGTATGTGGCTACTTAAAGGAAAACCACATAGAGTTGAATTGTAGTAATTTCGGTACCCAGCTGTTTTGGTACATATGTACTTGAGAGTAAGGATATTTCTGGAAAGATTTTCAAGACGAAAAATGCTGAAAAATATGAAATCAGCAATACACAAGCCCAAAAAACAAACACTGTAAAAAGATTAACAGTTAGTTCTAAAATATTTTAAAATAATTTTTGGGAAGAACATCTGAAACACTGATGGAAACATCACAGTTTTACTGTAAGAAAGGACCAAGTATCGAAATGTCTGAACCCCATTGAGTTATCAAATTAGGTCATTTTTTTTATTAAAAAACATTACATTAAAATTTAAATTATTGATTTTCCTATTTACAGTTTATATATCTATTTCTCAAGTTTCAAAACATCTTTTGAAATTACTAAACGTATCTAAACATCAGTAAGCAATGCCAGCGCTGTGCATTACAGTGACAGGTTGTTTCGCCTTAAATTCTGTTCGCCCCAGTTTGATTCGCACTAAGTTGTTTCTCCCTAAAAATACTTTTAGGGTGAAAACTTTTAAGCCCTGTTTAGTTGTGTATGGCTTATAGTCTTTAAAAAAAAATCTTTTTTCAAGGCTTCCCTATGTTTTATTAGTCACTAGACTTGCCGGATGTGTAAGTGGTCAGCCAGAATCTTCATACAATGTTAATATAGCTACACTGGATGAAATCCTTCTGACTACACACTTGTTCTTGAAATATATATAGATATGAAAACATCAAGTTTTTGAATCATTGAAAACACTTCAATAGTTATATATAACTTAAACATAAACATTAATATTAGGGCAAAAAGACCTGTACTGTATAGCGAACAGGATTCAGGACAAAACAACCTAGATCATATAACTACTGTACCAGTTGGAGTCTGTAACTGAATCTGTAAAAACATGTCTGGCTTCAAAAGGACAAATTCCTGGTCCTGGGGCTATAGGATACTTCATCACTGCAAACGCTTCAGTCCCTGATATGTCTTTTCTTCGAGGAATACACTTAAGCATAAGCATCCAACCAACATCATCAACAGTGGTATTGTAGACACATGTCCGACCAACTTCTTCACAGTCACTGAACCTCATATCAGCTTTAAGCACAACATCTGGTTGTAGTTTAAACCTACCCCACACACATTCGGTGTCATTCATATCAAGGAATTCTCCATCGATCACTGGCAAAACAGGGAATCCGGCCATTGTTGATTCAGGAATAGACAATGTTTTAATAAACGGCGCATTGACAATCACTGGAAGTCTACAATCGTCAATTTTCAAAATACTACCATCAACCATTGAGTCTCTGATTATCGTTTCTTTTGTGAATACGATTCCATTTAAAGAAATTGATATAGCTGGAATAAGTGGCTCATTTTCTGCTGCTTCACTTTTTTTCTTCCTTTTTAGACATTTCTTTTCGATACCAGTTTTTAAGCGTTCGATGAATTCGCCTACTGTTTCATCAAGACGACGTTCAAAATTAAACTTCTTCAGTGATTTAGGCTGAAGGCCATATTGAAATGAAATACTTGCCCTTTCTTCATCAGGAAGAAATCGAACATTGCAATGAGCCATTCTTTTCGGTGATCTGCCTATTGGTATGATGCGAAAATGAAAATATCTTGAAATCCTTTTAACCGCATGGCAAGTCGATTGCATGATATGGCAGCAACACTTACCGGAAGAGATACCGGAAGTAAATAAACTATTAAGGGGTGAGGTAGTGTTAAGATAAGGAGCACCAGACCAAAAGCAACCTATACATTTTTAAGTATTAACTTTCAATTTTAAGGATATTTTATAGCTGATAAACGAGAAAATTAAACAAATATTAAAATAATGATGTAATATACAAACAAAATGCGCAGACATAATGTATCTATTTGCTTTCTTTACAGGATCGGGCAGAATCGGGCGGCGATATATAGGATCGGGCAGAATCGAGCAGGATCGGGACTAGTCGGACTATTTTATGGTTGAATAATTATATAACATTGTATACCACTGATTTGATTTCTTTTAATTTGGTATAACATACATATGTAGTCAGTATGGATTACAGGAAACATTGCCTTATAATTGAAATATTAAGAGTAGGAGAGTCTATTAGTGTCTTTAAACTCTATTGAAGATTGTGCTAAGTTGAATAATGACCCGAAGTCTTCAGGAAAATGGGAAGAAAAGTGGCAAATGAATTTTAACACCAGTACATGTTCTATTATTAAAACAGCAACACAATTAATTATAATTGTATCCTTCATAATCAGATTTGAGAAAGTGTAGATACTAATAAATATCTTGGTGTCACTTTCAGTTCAGACCTAACTTGGGTCAAACACATTCAATCAGTGACCAACAAGGCCAATACGACATTGGGCTTCCTACGTCGAAATACATGTTGAAAGTACTAGGAAAGTTAAATCACAGGCATACACTACTCTTGTAAGACCAGTTTTAGAATATGCCTCAACTTGTTGGGATCCCTATGCTATTCCATCAACCACATACAACACTTAGACCATGTACAACGTAGAACAGCGAGATACACTTTTAATGAGTACAGGTCTGTAGATCCAGGCTGTATTACAAACATGATGAAATCAATAGATTGGAAATCTTTATCACAAAGATGGGCAAAGCCAGATTGTCAATGCTATACAAGATCTCGCATAACATCGTTCAAATTAACCCATCATCATACTGGACATCAGGTGACAGACGAACAAGGGGGGCACATAAAATAAACACAATATCTACCGCTAAGACGCCTATAAATTCTCTTTTTTCCCCCCAATAACTATCTAGTTTAGTTTAAACATATTTATTGCCAAAATTAGACAAGGGATTAGGCACAAGCTATAACAGCTTATCAACGCCTTCTCCCAATATAAATTTTAAATGACATTATAATAATGACAATAAATATATACAATTGTTGTTACAATTTGAACTCAAAATCTATTGCTGGATTTAAATAAAGTTTTGCACAGATCTAAAAATGTTTGAGTTAAGGTCCACGGAAAATTGTGAATTGCCAAACAAAATAATTTCTAAATGTAACGCAACATTCAAATTAATCAATTTTTGAACCAAAAATACGTCTTTCGTTTGTAAAAAGGTGACATTCCATAACATAGTGAAAGACATTCTCACAAGGATGACCACAATTACAAGATGTACTCTCAACAAGGTTAACTCTAAAAAGGTCATAATTAAGGGAACTGCACTAGTGTCGGAGCTTAGTATGCAAAATATTAAGTTTACGATTTCCGATTTTAAAGTAAATAGGTGGACTTGACTGAATATTTGATGTTAAACAGGATTGAATTAATAGAGGGTAGGGGTCGAACCGAATTTTCTAAGTTATTACAATAGTGAAGTGTAGACGGTATAAAATAAGAGTTAGTAAGAGATAATCCGATTCAAAAAGAGTGCAACCGTCCCAAAACTCACAAGCATATCCTAAAACAGGTAAAATAAAAGTCTTGTAAATCATAAAAAGAGCATCCCTACTTATATATAAGTGTTTCAGTTTTCGTAAGACATTGATATTTTTCCATTTACATGACCCCCCCCCCAACCCACACACACACACACACTTTGCATTCGAATTAAAAGTTACCCCTAAATGTTTATGATAATCCGTAAAGTTTAAGACTTTCCCATCAGATTCTAAATCTAAGTCTTCCTCGATATCGATTGAATTCGAAATAAACAATACATCAGTATTTTGAGGATTAAAATTAACCAACCAGGTTTTTCACCAAGTATTTGAGATCTCTAGGTCTCTATATAAAGTTTCTTGAACTTGAATTTCTAGACAAGATGAAGATGATTTAAGTAGTGATGTATCGTCTGCAAAAAAACGAGACGTGGATTCAAAAAAATCTGCTATGTCATTAATAAATATAAGAAATTAAAGTGGGCCAAGAATAGAGGCTTGTGAAACCCCTGCCTCAATTAGACCTACAGAAGAATATGAACTGTTTGCAAATACCTTTTGGTGTCCCAGAGACAAATAATGTCTAACCACATAAGCAATTCACCTGAAATTCCGTACGATTATAACTTCACTACAATACCTCTATGCCAAAAGCTTTGGATATGTCATAGAATACAACAAACGTATGCTTTTTTTTTTTTTATTCAAGTGCAATTTTGGTGATAAATATAAATGAGTTCATACACTGTAGAATGACCATGCATACAACCAGACTGATATTTGTAAGACAAAGATTTTCTATAAAGTAGATATATATATATAGTTGTACAATTGTTTAAAAATCACTCTTTCAAAAACTTTACCAACAGTGGACAGCAAGGAAATTGGTCTACAATGGCATGCTATTAACTAATTTCCATTTATTTGGATAAATCCCTGTTGATAAGGACATATTAAATATTATTTCGAGCGGAGTACAAACAGTGTGAACAGTTTTTCTTAGCATATGGTGGCTGATTCCATCCCCACTCGAGGCCTTGCCGAGCTTCAATATCTGTAGAACATCGCGTATTTCAGTTGAATGTAATCTAATTGAACTAATTTGTTTGTCAGTTTTTTGCTCAATAATCGGAACATCCGTGTTACTGTCATCTACTCTAGAAATACTACAAAAATAATTATTTAATAATTCAGCTTTATCTTCATCTCTTGTAACTATGTCATTAGTAATAGGATCGATTAAGGAAGGTATAGATTGTGAAGTATCAGACGTTTTAATTAACCTTTTAATTAATTTCCAATAAGATTTAGGATCAGAAGATGAGTACCCACCAATAATATCATAAACAGTTTCATAAAAAGTAACACGTGCATGCTTTTTCATACTATTAACTTTGTTTCGCTGTGATTTGAATTTATTGATATCTACCAAACGTTTGGTTGACCTCGCTATTTTATGTAATCTATCCCTAATTCTTAAGTTTTGTCTAAGCTCAGAGGTCATCCATGGCTTATCATTATGTTTTATATTTACTTCTTTACTAGGAATACATTCATTGGCAAAAGATAGATAAATGTTCGTAAAACGACCACATGCTTAATTAACTGAGTCAGAATTATAAAAAAAATATATCCAATTATGATTAGATATAAGTTCTTTATTTGCACTCTTGTACTGCCAAATCTTACGTTTATAGACTGGTTTAAAAAGACAAGGAAGGTTAATGGAAGCAGTACAACCATCATGGAAACTAAATGATCTATCAACAGAAATTACAGAAGAGTCAATACAAGAAATAGAGTCAGATAATAGTATAGGATTTAGTAAGATAGATCTAGTACGTCCAGTACGAGTAGGATCTTTTATAACATTAGTTAGTGATAAGGAGTTAATGATGTCAAAAAGAACGTGATTATTTGAAGCAGTGAAGTAGTCAACGTTTAAGTCCCCTGTTACTATATAACATTAGGAGAGATATCAAGAGCATTATTTAAAGATGACATTAAATTTCCCTACAACGGTAGGATAGAGCTTTCTGGTCTATAAGCTGTTCCTATAATGTAAGTCGAGTGGGGTAGGCCAATTTATGTCCATATTACCTCATCACCAGGATATTCCAATTCTGGCAAACGATCAACTTTCAAAAGATTATTTATATAAATCAAAATCTAAACGAGTTCTGCGGTTAGACACACAATGTCGTATTCATTTACTATGTCCTCAATATTGTCTAATTTGTGTCTAACGCTCCTAATATTTAAATAAAATATAGAAAGCTCGCCAAGTCTTGGACCAGGATTGGATTCAACATCCATATGCTGTAGTAATATTATTAACAAAATCACTGAAAACTCGAAATTTCGGAAACAAGAAATAAATATAATATTTAACCAAAAAAGATAGCTATGCAATTGATGAAGTAGTTTTAACACAGAATTTACACCAAAACAAAAAGCGATAAATGACTTCATCACACATCTTCCGTAGACCTTAGAATAGATGGTACCGATCGCTATTCTATGACACATCAAATAAGTATCCATTGTCAATTATGTAACACAAACATGAAGTAGAATAGCGAATCTATACCCGGAATTTCATGAAAAAAATATGATGTGCAAACCAGCAATTGAAATTGTCAAACCTTATTACAATATATTTAAGCGAACAAACAGGACATGTTATGTAAACAAAAAACACTGAATAGTTGAAAGAAATCGGTACAGTATAACACTGTCACAGTTTTGATCGTGTGATGACTATAAATAAATTTGACCTAAACTATGAAAATTAATAAAAGAAGAATGCATTCACGTATGTGAGGGTATATATAAATCATTAATAATTCATGCCTCATGTTAGATCACTGGTTACCTTTGCTCATAATTTATATAAAATGTCGATATAACGTACGCCTTGACATAAGGGCCATCACCTGGACAGAGCTCAAATCCCACAAAAAGCATGGGTTTGCACCCTATCCAAGTGGCGCGTGTGTCGACTATGAACATTTATACACAGGTGAGTCATGCATACACATAATGTACATTATACGGTTGAGTTGTGATTATAAGAACACAAGAAATTAGGGGAAGTGGGGCCAGCCAATATAAGGGTTTTCTGTTAATATTTTGAAATGGTGGCAGACTGTCATTAGGCTAGCAACACACACTCATTTCCAACGTCACTGGCCCTTAATGAGGATTTACCTTCTTTCAAGTCCTCACTTGAAGGTTAT